ATATAATCTTAATGAATAATTTAATTTAGGGAGATTTTAATAGTATTTCCAATCTCTCTGATTATGATGTCCGTTAAAAACTACTCCCATTCATCAGTTTTATTTTAAAAGAAAATATAAGGGTCTAGTTGCTTCTTTTTATTTTTGAGAAAATCGCCTCAGTGACCAAAAATGCCTTATAATATACGATTTTAACCAACTTTTTTTTGATTTGCCAAAATGACCAACAAAATCGCAACGCGATATCAAAACCGCAACGCGATTTAGAAAAGCGCAACGTTGAAAAGAAGATCGCAACGCGATCTTCCAAGAATCGCAATGCGATTCATAAAATCGCAACGCGATCTTCCAAGAATCGCAACGCGATTCAGAAAATCGCAACGCGATTCAGAAAATCGCAACGCGATCTTCCAAGAATCGCAACGCGATTCCAAGAATCGCAACCCGATTCAGAAAATCGCAACGCGATTCCAAGAATCGCAACGCGATTAAGAAAATCGCAACGCGATCTTCCAAGAATCGCAACGCGATTCAGTAAATCGCAATGCGATCTTCCAAGAAAATCGCAACGTGATATTCCAAGAATCGCAACGCGATTCAGAAAATGAGTAAATTCTTTCAAAAGTTGTTGCATTTGTTTCTTTCTTAAGAATTTTCTCTAAAAAGATAGTATCCGCGCGGACGTGTCGAAGACACGTATTACCACGACCACGACCACGACCACGACCACGACCACGACCACGACCACGACCACGACCACGACCACGACCACGACCACGACCACGACCACGACCACGACCACGACCCGACCCGACCCGAGACGAGACGGCGGCGGCGGCGGCGCGCGAGAGTCCCCCTTGTTCTCTTTCACTCAACAAGGAAATGGGAAATCCAAGCCTTAAATACACTTCCCAATAGTGTTTCCAATACTATGTGGGATTGAGCATTACTCAACACTTCAAAGAAAATATAGCAATTTTTGTAGCATGTTTCCCGCTTAATCCATATTTAAAAATATTAAAACATTTTATCATATTAAAACTATATGTATAAGTTTGAATTGAAATGTAGATATCTACAACTCTTTTAATTCTCTTGATAAAATGTTTTAATATTTTTAGATATGGATTAAGTGGGAAAATACTACAAAAATTGCTATATTTTCTTTGAAGTGTTGAGTAATGCTCAATCCCACATAGTATTGGAAACACTATTGGGAAGTGTATTTAAGGCTTGGATTTCCCATTTCCTTGTTGAGTGAAAGAGAACAAGGGGGACTCTCGCGCGCCGCCGCCGCCGCCGTCTCGTCTCGGGTCGGGTCGGGTCGGGTCGTGGTCGTGGTCGTGGTCGTGGTCGTGGTCGTGGTCGTGGTCGTGGTCGTGGTCGTGGTCGTGGTCGTGGTCGTGGTCGTGGTCGTGGTCGTGGTCGTGGTCGTGGTCGTGGTCGTGGTCGTGGTCGTGGTCGTGGTCGTGGTCGTGGTCGTGGTCGTGGTAATACGTGTCTTCGACACGTCCGCGCGGATACTATCTTTTTAGAGAACTTTTGAAAGAATTTACTCATTTTCTTAATCGCGTTGCGATTCTTGGAATCGCGTTGCGATTTTCTTAATCGCGTTGCGATTTTCTTAATCGCGTTGCGATTCTTGGAAGATCGCGTTGCGATTTTCTGAATCGCGTTGCGATTTTCTGAATCGCATTGCGATTCTTGGAAGATCGTGTTGCGATCTTCTTTTCAACGTTGCGCTTTTCTAAATCGCGTTGCGGTTTTGATATCGCGTTGCGATTTTGTTGGTCATTTTGGCAAATCAAAAAAAAGTTGGTTAAAATCGTATATTATAAGGCATTTTTGGTCACTGAGGCGATTTTCTCTTTATTTTTTTAGGCTTAAAGGCATTTTCCCCCTAAATTATACATTTTTACTGAGTTGACCCTAAAGTTTTTTTAAGACATTATATCATCTTAATTTTAAAATGACTCGAATTATACTATCATATTTTTAAGCTTAATTATTTAAATATCTAAATACTATAATACTTAACAATAAATAATCAATTTATATGTTAACATATTTTTTATTAAAACAAAACATATTTTTATTTTTGATACAACACAAATTTTAGAAAAATAATTATTGTTGTAAGCTAAAAATATGAAGAAAATTAGAGGAAATTTAGAATTCAAGAGTTGTAATCTGGAAACTGAAATGTTTAGTGCCAATTTTGAAAACTCCTAGAAATTGGAGTTTTAACTCCACGATTTACCCTTTAAAACAATTTGCTTGATTCCCCTTAACTGTGTCGCCTATAGGGCTGTAAATGAGACGAGACAAATAGTGAGCTACTCGAGATTGACTCGATCAAGGCTCGATAAATACTCGAATCGAATGGACTCGACTCGAGCTCGAGCTCGACTCGAGTTCTTAATGAGCCTAAATGAGCTACTCGATATTCGACTCGAAAAGCTCGTGAGCAGCTCGAAAATGTTATATTATAATTTTAGATTTTTTAAATTTACATTATTAAAAATACACTATTGATAATTACAAAATTTTAAAATTATATTAAAAATTATATAATATAACTACCTCAAATTTTAATTGATGTCCTTGCAATAAACCCTAAACTCTAAACCCTAAACTATAAACTATAAACCATAAACCCTGGCCCCCTAAATTGTACTTACCTCATAAATCGGTACCAATTCGATTAATTAATATTTTTGCGATAAACCCAAAGCTCTAAAGCCTAAACCATAAACTATAAACCCTAAAACCTAAATCTAATTATGTGATAGGAGTTAAGTTATGCACATGAAGGTAACATACAAATTATGCAAAATGATGTTATGTGACTCCTTAATAAATCAATCGCATACTTATACATAAACATATCAACATGCAAAATAAATATACACAACTAATTAAAGAAAACAATCCTAAACATGGACTAAATTAAGAGAAATCTAAATGTGAGGGCTAATTTAAGCTAAATATACTAACTTTACAATGATGATTAAATTCACGTAAATGTAAAATTAAACTTACAAAATTGGAATTAAACCAATGACTTAAATACAAAATGTGCATAAACTATAGGGTCTTATATGCAATTGATCCTATTCGGTTTAAGCTAAAATAATATGGAAAATAACATAAATGACACCTGAACATTTAAAACAAATAAGAAAATTTAAACAAATGTGATATAAAAATTAAAATATAACATACCAAACTATAAATTTATTAAACATGCATATACATATTAAACTAATGACTAAATTTAAAGAAACGTAAAATTTAACATACAAATCAAGAATTAAATTAGGGATTTACAAAAGGGTGCTCAAGTTTGGGGACTATAACTTAATTTACCAAAAAATTAATATGAAACCTAAATTTAACTAAATTTCCTGAGATACGGTAATTGCCTTGGAAAGCTGATGCCAAACTCATCATTGCCTTGGAAAGCTGATGCCAAACTCATAGTATGGACTCTCACCAGCTTTTCAGATACGGTGTGGCCAGCGGTGGCCTATCGTACTCAACCTCTTATTCAACTTTTCCTTCAATACCTAACAAGCAAGTTCTACGTTTGCAACCACAGAACACTGCTAGATCCACTTTAGTGTTCTTACAATAACTATAATGTCTGTAATAACCCTACAGTGAGTAAAATTTTTACTTGGACTCATGGTATTAGCTGAAAGAGCTGCAAAGATTACAATAAAGCATGGAACACAATGCCACAACCACAAATCAGACCAAAACTAAAGGAAAATGCCATGTTCATTATATGCAAAACACAAAGGATTAGTAGTAATTGTTGTGGTTTTGAAGTAGCAGGTGGAAATTCAAGAATAAATAGAGAAAGAAGATGGTGAAAAGGAAGAGCATTACCATAATCAAAGGGAGATCAGACCATAATATAGATAATTAAAACCAAAAAAACACAATTAGGGAGCTAATTTTAATTTTAATTTTAAGCTAACATATATTTGAAACAAATTGGATATTACCATCTATCTTTTAAATGAATGCTGAATTTGTAATCTCATTCAAATAGAGCCTTTCAACCTCAAAAGCTCCAAAATTCCAGCTTTTGGATTTAAGTTGAAAATCTCGTGTACAAGTAAAATTTTATTTGTTTATGATTATTTTTGTTTAAATAAATATTTTTTTAATAGTCAAAGACAATTGCAAACAGTACCATTTCAAACGAAAGAAAGAAAATGTTTTCTTCCAGCAATTCGAAACTTTGAAAAATCAGGGAGTACAAAACCTTTCTCTGAAATTTTCAAGCTAATTCAAAATTAGAAGCCGTAGAAGAACGAGAGAGAAAATTGAAAGCTAAACATGTACTGTTATAGTTATTAAATTTATCAAAAACAATAGAATATTATGTTGTTTGGGTGAGTTTGTTTTCATGGGAGGTACGGGAAAAGATGATCTTGATGGTGGTATCCCTTGATCTTGATGATGATGATGTTGATGTTGCTTTGTTGGAGGCTTCAATGAAGCTTGTTTAGCAGTCTCCGATGAACAAGGTGCTGAACAGAGTGAAGAGCACGGGGAAGAGGGTGAAGTTCTGACCTTTTATCCCACACACAGCATGTGGCCTTATATCCCATATCTTTAAGATAGAAGCAAGTGCTCCACAAGTGATCCTATAAATTAAAGCTCAAACTCAATGATATTTTATGAGTCAAGCTTAGCTCGAGTTTAAATTGAGTTCGAGTCTTGAGTATTAGTTGAGTTCTGAATTTATTTTTAGTTTGAGTCTTTTTGAATTTGAGTCATTTTCAATATTATCTTTCGAGTCGAGTTGAGCTTACATTTAAAGTTTTTGAGTTTGAGTCGAGTTTGATAGTACTCTAACTTGACTCGACTTGTTTACACCCTTAATCGCCTATATTTCCTTATAAAAAGATTTTTGTGATTATTTATTTTTTATCTTATTTTATTTATTTCTCACTATGCTTCCCTTCCTATACCCTCGTGGCTTTTCTCTTCCCATACCCTATCTTGAATATGCCGCATACTTAAATCAATCCCTAAAAATTCATCACTGCCGCTAAGATCTCCCCCTTCCGTCGTTCTCCACTATCACGCCTCACCCAATTCAACACCATCTTATCTTGAATCTTCTATTTCATTCTCTCTTCTTTCTTTATTTCTGCTACAACCCATTCTTCAACTGCCGTGACTTAATCGAGTACTTGCTCGGGATATGATATATCGGAAGAAACGGAACGGGGCGGATCTGGTTTCCTCGGAAATCCCCAGTGCATGATTGTTTGATGATTATTGTTTGTTAGACGAAATTACTGTGATTTGTGGCCATCTTCGTTCACTTGACCCTTCAGCCCTGTATGGTCATCTAATTCCCTCACCTGCTTTGATCCTCTCAAGTTCTTCTCTTCTTAGTTTCTTTCTTTCTTTTATTAATTCCTTCTGAATTTTTTAATGACGTTATCATATTAGTTGTTCATTTCGAGCAATTTCCAGTAAGTTTCAGACTTTGCGTTCACTGAAAAATGAAAATTCTATGCTTCATTTTAATGAATTATGTTTACAATTTAATTGCTTTCGTATTTTTAGTTATATTTACTAGCTGGGTTAGCTTTATTTAGTTTGGAATTATGTTTTACAATGTAACTGGACGATAAGCTAAGTTGTCGGCAAAATGTCATGGCTTAGTTACTTGCTCCTTCAAGCTAGGATATTGTTGATTTCTTATTCTACTATGAACTTGCTCGTTAATCTTTTTTTTTTTTTCATGATACTACATTGCAGAATTTAATGAATCATTTGGGAATTCCGACAAGCTCATCGAACCAACCACTAATCCCCACCTCTTAATTTACAGTGTTTTCTCACAGCCAACGACTGCCATTGTCCTCTGAAATTGGTAAGCAATGCCCACTATCCTTAGAACCCTTATGAATTTGTCTTTACCTACTTATTTAATTATTATATTGTTATAAATATTCTCTAATATCTATTTACTAATAGGTAATATACTAGTTCAAAATTTATTATTTTTATAGTCAAAGCTTATATTACTTTGATTGTTATAACTATTGTTACAACCAGAATTTGATATCCCTATTTCGTTTTTTTTTCTTTTTTTCTATATTTTTATTTATGTTTGTGTATTTTCATTGGTTTTAACTAGGGGTGAGCAACACTGGGTACCCGCTTATTTTTTTGGGATCGAAACCTGTTGCACCGGTTCGTAAAAAATGGGAACTGGAATCTGTTCTTCTGGTTCCTAAAAATTGAGATCCAGAACCGGAACCTGTAGGTATCGGTACCGGTTCCGGGTACCCTGTTATTTTGACAGCTTTCTCATTCAACCTGTTAATTGTTACACATTAAGTGGAATGGTATGTCGCCTCCATGTTAAAATTGACCCTTTTATAACCTGTTAATTTATTAAACTAAAATGTTACTACTTATCACAAGTAACTATTTTCTATACAAAATTTATCCACCATTTCATACTTAAATAGTAATAAAAACTCTAACCCAAAGTACATATTACGAAAAAGCAAAGTTTGAAATCAATTACAAGTTTAATCCAAATTCAAAAGTATAGGTCACAAAATGCATAAAGTCGTAAAAAGTCCAAACCAAGTATGTTTACAACTAAAAGATATTACACCATATTTACAATTCCAATGCAATTTTTGCTCCTTTCTCAAACTTTCATGCGGTGATGCCCTTGATACTCTACTGACTCCTAGCACAAAGACAAATAAGTTATTACAATATGACCCAATTTGTAATACAAATTTATTAAACTTACATGTAAGAAAATAATAAATGACAATATGAATTGTAATTTACCTTAAATGAGATTCCTTAGTAGTTTTTACCAATGGCGTCATTAAATTTTGTCACGCAACTATCACTCAATTTTGAAAACAAAAAACACATTCACTAAGTTATAATATACATATAATTTGATAAATGAATAAAAAAAAGTAAAAGTATTACCTTCATATTTCTCAACATCTTCCTATAGTTGCTCAATATCCACACATATGTTAGATGCTCTCAACCAATCTTGAGCACATATTAAAACGTCCACAGTTTTTGGACCCAAACTACTTCGAAACTGATCAAGCACCCGACCCAATGATCTCTTCAAACAAATTGCTAAAACTTTGGCTTTCGCCTAATCATATCCACTAGGAACACCATCCTTAACCTCCTTTTCAAACTCACTATCATCTTCTTTGTATCTATCAAATACTTTTTTCAAATTTCAATGCATTTCCTAACATAAGGTAAGTAGAATTCCACCTTGTGGCTACATCAAGACAAACTGAACCTTTATGAAGAACTTTCACACATTTAGCACATTCATCAAATAACTTCGCTCTAGAAGGAGAGCGAGTGACATATCTCACAGAACCACGAATACTACTAATTGAGTTCTTCACCTTAGACAAACCATCTCGCACAATCAAATTAAGAACATGAGCAGCACATCTCATATGGAAAAATTCACCTCCAAGAACAAGTTTATCACACAGATTCTTTCTTAGAAGACCAATGGCCACATCATTACAACAAGCATTATCATCTGTGACACATAAAATCTTATCTTTAATGCCCCATTCTAATATACATGTCTCTAAAACTTTCCCAATCTCTTTACCTTTATGACGATCCATCAATTGGAAATTCAGAATTCTTTTATGCAACCTCCAATTGTTATGTGGCTCTAGTTCCGGTTTCAGGGTACCCAGTATTGGAATCGCTTTTAGCCGGGTACCCAACCAGTTCCAATTCCAAAATTTTGGGAACCGGAACTAATGTCATCAGGGTCCTTATTTTGTTACCGGAATCGGAACCTCTGGAACTAGTTTCGGTTCCAAAACAAGGTTCCCCGTTCTTTTGCTCACCCCTAGTTATTACATTTTTTCTTTTATTTATTATTTTTGTAGTTACAAGAATTTGGAATGGTGACTGAAGTCATTGGCTACCGATAACAGTGGCGACCAATCGACTGTGATCTTAATTTGGGGTTGGTTTTGGAGGTATTTTAGAGGGAAGAGATAAAAATATAATGATTATATAATTTTGGATCTTCATTGTATTTTGTAAAAATATGAGATGTTATTGCAATTTGTAAAAAAATATTTGTCATTATTGTAATTTATGTGAATTTTTTACTTTCATTTTAATTTGTAAAAAGAACTGTCTTTTGATTGTAAATTATAAAAATATTTTTCCTTGATTGTAATTTATAAAATAAAATTTCTTATATTATAATTTACAAAAAGATTTCTCCTCTATTATAATTTGTAAAAAAAAATCCTTTAATATATAAAAAATCTAAATGTAATTTCATGAATTTTTAATTTTTAATATTTTTAAAAAAGTTAAATAAAAAATTATGATGGTTTTATTTTTATCATTATAAATAAAATTATCTAATTTTTGGTGATGATATGAATAATTAATAAAAAAAATTATATTATTTAGTGACGTAATTAATTATCATTAAATATAAATTATAATGCGACGATATTCATTAATGTTATTACATATATAATAATACGTGATGAAACTATATACATCGTCATATTTGACCAGTGATACACCTAAGGTGACGTTCTCTGTGATGTCAAATTTTACGTCACAAAATACAAATAGTGACATAAATGTAAGTTTCGATGACAATATTTTAGATATCAAAAATAAGAAAATTTGTTGTTGTGATGATCCATAATGATAGAACTTAGTATGTAAAGGAAGTAAATGGCCTAAGAGGGCCCAGAAACACTTGTAAGATTAGGTTACAACCGAAGTAACCATACTAAGCGTGATACGTCAAAGTATCTTTAGTCAAGCACGTATCTAATTGTTAAGAACGAGGATCATTGCAGAGGATGTACATACAAGTGGTACGATAAGTAAGTCAAATTTAATAATAGAAGAAATCGTGTACTTTGAGAACATTAATGAACTGAGAACATAGGAGTCATCCCTCCAATTCAAGTGGTATTGAGGAGAAGTACGAAAAGAACGATTAGAGTGTCGTTACCCAGTACTGAACCCAAGTCAAGTATCAGACTAGCTAGTATTACCACCAGTAAACAGTAGAATCAGTAATGGTCGTAAAATCATGAAATGCGTAGAGACAGAAATGACTAAAACACCCTTAAGTAAAGAATGAACAGAATAGAACAACTTAAATAAATTATCAGAAACAACATAGTAATAAACCTTCGCATAACGTTATAAATAATGAGAACGAGCGAGATAGCAGCTAGCGAGATACCAACTATGTTAGGTATAGCCAGGCTACCTTAGTTACCCTAGTCAAACATTTTTAGTGTTATACAGGCTTAATGCCCTCAATTATGCATGCATAGTTGCATCAGTTCAATACAACACACATCCTTAGAGCTTAGCTTGATGGCTATATGAGACCGAGTCAATGTTTTAGTTAAGTGGGAATTGTACCAATTGTTATGTGATGACCGGGTTTCATCTCAATGATCTACCTGACGCTGTAAAACCATGAGATCATTCAACAACTTAGTAGGAATTTCACCGATATTATGTGACACTGAGTTCCCTCGGTTAACTAATGCCTTATGGCTATGTGTTACCAGATACTAGTTGTGTTGCATTCAAATAATGTATAGCAGAGTCAATGTTGCATTCAGATAATACACATGAGTATCGATGTCGCATTTAGATAATGCAAAACGGTTATAGTTAGTGTGGTAGAGACATAATAGAGATGTACTCATGGCCAAGCCCTTAGCAGAGGATTAATGAAAATGTGAAACTTCTACTTCAGTGATAGAACAGTTGAGCCCTAAGTAGGTAGCACTTGATTAAGATCATGCATGTACCTATTGCTTAGTACCATGTCTTTATCATGCTTATGTTTATGAAATCATAATTTTGCTATAGATTAGCAATTATACTGTTGGGCTTTGTAAGCTCAGCGTTCAGATATTTTTCATTCGCAGGTCAATAGCTTGAGCTAATCGTTGAGCGCCGTCCCAATAAGACTTCCAACATCTCCTTCAGAGAATTGTAATGTGTCTTTAATGGGCATATGTATATATAAAACCTTAGTCATGTATTTGGTTTATCAAACTTTGAGTTTGTACTATTTTAGCTTTAAATTACGTGTCACAGAGCTTCAGTTTATAAAAAGCTTTTATAATTGTTATTTACATCTATTTTGATAACATATCACATGTTTTGAAAATAAAATGAACATGTTTTAAAAAGAAAATGAACATGTTTTAAAAATTAGGGATTGCCTCGGTGACCCAATATGACACTTTAGGCCCATTCGAGTATAGAGTGTTACACCTTAGTTTAATATTTATAAAATTTCTCATGTTTGTTTTGCGGTCTTCGCATCTGAGGTTTTTCAAAGGTAGATTCATATACTCCTTGAAAAATAAAAAAAAAATGCCCTACTGTCTTTCTTACGGGATTCTTTTAGTACCCGTTTCTCTTCATTGGTCAATGCTTCTTCTGCTGTTGCATTTTTGGATTCAACATAACCTTCCTCGATGATATCCTAGTAATCTTGGAAATCGAGTAATGTCTTCATTTGAATGTTTCCATTACCATAATTTGACTTTGTCAATCTCGAGATTTGTGGTTGAATCATATTGTCAATCTTTCCCACCACATAAAACTCTCGAACCAAGCTCTAGATACCACTTGTTGATAGGATTGATGGGACTTGATAAATTTTGTAATTCGCAGGATATTATTTATACGAACAAAATAGGACTACAACACTAGCTTCAGCTAATTTATAAACATCACTATAGCTTTGCTATGCTTTCACTCACTATCTCTCATTTTTTTTTCTTTCACTCATACACATACATACATTTCATAAATAAAGATGTAATAAACAGACTCATTCGTTGCTGGTTTTTCCTTTATGCCGCCTAGAATTGCCACCTTAATCTTCTTCACAATTAAGTACTGCACAAGCTGCTACCAACTCACTTTCTTCAAGAATTTTCTAACTTTGCCGACATGCTAGAAATATTCTCTTTGGGCAGTTGTCGCGTTCTTTCTTTAAACACGTTTATTGATTCCTTAATTCTTAATCATTAAAATAATATGGAGTTTTGAACTTTTGTCAACACATCATTATTTGTTGTTCATTTTCTTCAATCATCAAGTGGGTGATTTATGAACCATACATGATTTGCCAAGATAAAAACCAGGTTTAAAATTCTAACAAAATCTTTCCCCTAAAATTATCCACTGGACTTAATTTTCCTCAATTAAGTCTAGGCCTTGATTAATAATAAACAGAATATAACTTAAATTGCCAAACTCTATGCTCGGGACAACTCCTCAACATTGACTTAGGCCAGTTTGGTAGGGTTTTTGAAAATTGATTTTTAAAAATGCGGCATAATTTTTTTTAAATGTTATTTAGAAGCGCAATTTAAAATTTAACTGTTTTAGGTTGTTAAAAAGTGAATTTGAAAAGTTAAAATGTTCATTATAAACATTATATTATAAATTAAAAACATATGATTTAAATTATTACAATTATTAATACTAGGATATATAATATATATCACTTAAACTATTATAAAAATATTTTAAGATAATTCATTAATAAAATTTTTATAAATGAAATATTTTATTAAGAAAAATATATTATCAATACTTTTTAACACGTGGATATAAAATATTTTATAAATATTTTAATATATAAACAATGAATTTTATTTATTTTTAGGTAATTAAAATA